GAACTCAAACCTCTAATTTTTTGGTTAGCAGCTGATGCATGAATTGTTTACACCAGCCAGGAATGAGTACTAAGCCAATCAAGCAATCCAATGAACTGAGCTAACATTCTGAATGCAGTCAGACCCTTCTTTCAGGGTGAGCAATGCTTTGGCGAATGTTCAATTCTGGGGCACTCTCCAGATGCAAACACCTTGACATGTAAAGGTGACAGGTCCTTCTTCCTCTGGTTGCCACCCTTGCCTCCTGCAGCTGTTGCATAGCCACCAAACTGTCCAGCACACGTCTTACTGACCACAGCAGGAAGATGTTCCGTGTTTGACATCCTCCTAGCATATCCTCTGTCTCTGCAGGGAATGCTGCTCTCATCTGCATTCCTCCACTCACAGTTCTGTGCATTTCATCTTAAAATGTCTTATACATATTTAGTATTTATTTTCCCATAACTTATTTTGCTCTTTCCCTTTATTACCTAAGTAAAATCTCAGGACATTTCTGTTTCACTTGTGAGGAGTAAAGTTTCCAGATGTGTCTAACAAGTCTGAGTAAAGGCAATGATGCCTTTTCACCACGGGAGAGAAAAGCGGTAACATTTAGGGCTACATTAAGCTAATTAAAAGTCACTGACACCCTCTCGAAAGTCCTTTACAGTTATTACTGGTTCAGAACCTCTGCAATTTCATGGTTCTAAAATTTAAACCTATGTGTCTGCTGTCACAAGCTGTCAAAATATACACAGATTATTAAAGTACTTAATTTTCCTGTGCCTAATCTCGGAAACCCTGTACAGGGTCGCTATGGGTCGGAACCGACTCGACGGCACTTAACAACAACAACAAAATCTGGTAGTGTAGTGGTTACGAATTGGGCTGAGAACCAGAAGTTCAGCGGTTCAAAACTGCCAGCTGTTCCATGGGAGAAAGATGAGGCTTTCTGCTCCCGTAAAGATTTACACCCTCGGAAACCCTGTACAGGGTTGCTATGGGTCGGAACCGACTCGACGGCACTTAACAACAACAACAACAATCTGGTAGTGTAGTGGTTAGGAATCGGGCTGCGAACCTTAAGGTCAGCGGTTCGAAATTACCAGCTGCTCCGCGGGAGAAAGATCAGGCTTTCTACTCCCGTAAAGATTTACACCCTCGGAAACCCTGTACAGGGTCGCTATGGGTCGGAACCGACTCGATGGCACTTAACAACAACAACAACAATTATTAGGAGTCCTGGTGTGGTGCTGTGGCTTAATGCACCAGACTGTAAAGTTGGTTTGAACCACAAGGTTGGCAGTTCAAGCTCACTAGGCACTCCTCAGAAACCCTATATACAGGGTAGCTATGGGTTGGAACTGATTTGATGGCATTTAACAACAACAACAACAACAATAGCTATTAGCCTGGCAAAAGATAGCAAAGAGGAGGGAATCAATAATTGTTAGAAAGAGGAAAAATCATTAAAAAGAAACAGATAACTGAACTGGATTTTGCCATTTGAAAAGAAGTGTTTCAGCTACTGAGTCGAAGACTTTCTGAACACAGTGAACAACACATGCAAAGAAAGGCTCAGAGGTAGGTTACCATTTGATACATTTGAGGAACATCAAAACCCAAAAATATCCCCAATTCCAACTCATAGCAATCTTATAAGGCAGAGGAGGACCGCTCCACAGAATTCCCTAGGCTGTAATCTTTGTGGACTCCTGGTGTGATGCTGTAGGATCAGCACTGGACTACAGACCACAAGGTAAGCAATTGGAACCCACCAGCTACTCCTCAGAAACCCTGTACAGGTTTGCTATGAGTCAGAGCTTACTTGATAGCACTTCACAACAACAACCATCTTTATGGAAAGAAGTAGACCACCACATCTTCCTCCTGAAGAGTGGCTGGTGGGTTTAAACCATTCACTTTTGGGTAGACAGCTAAGAACTTGAACTAGTGTATCACCAGTGAGCACTCTATGGGGAACACCAAGTTGTCTAATACTGTCAAAGTATAAATTATGTGAGGGCATTGAGACAAGCTTTAAGAGAGGGGGACAGAGAGCAAGGCTTGCATCTTGTATACTTGAGGATAAATGAACCACTATAAATGAACTGAAGACAACTTAACCCTTCACTTCCTGTTATCTTATGTTAGCTGCCATGGCCGCATGCACAATGGAATGTTGTTACCTGGTCCTGTGCCATTCCGATGATCCATTGCAGATCAGACAATTTGGTTTTCACTGGCTGATTTTCAGAGGTAGATTGCCAGACCTTTCTTGCTAGTTGGTCTTAATCTGGAAGCCCTGCTGCACCTCGTTCAGCATCGTAACAACACGCAAGCCTCCCCTGACAGATGGGGGGCTGTGCCTAAAGTGTGGCTGTGCCTAAAGATGGGATATGAACCTGGGTCTCTAGCGTGGAAGGCGAGAATTCTACCATGGAACTACTACTTTGTAGAAATAAGAAAATGCCAGTGTTTTTGAAATATTTCCCAAGTGTTCCTGAGTCAGCGGCTCAAACCCACCAGTTGCTCCTTGGAAACGTTATACAGGGTAGCTATGAGTTGGAAAAGACTTGATGGCCTTAACAACAACAACAAAAGCACACAGTATGGTAGTGTGGTGGCTCTGTAGGATAAGCACTGGACTGCAAACTACAAGGTGGACGGTTTGAGTCCACCAACTGCTCCACAGGAGAAAGATGAGGCTTACTTACTGTTCTCACAATGATTTACAGCCTTGGAAACCCTATACACGGTCACTATGAGTTGGAACTGACTTGATGGCACTTAACAACAAAAGTTAACAATACACAATTAATATTACATACATACCCCCATGGACCTGCTAGCATCTTTTGAATTAGATAGTGTTTTATCAAAGGTGAATTTGAGATATGAATTTACCAAAATAAACCAAGAGTGATGACTGACAGAGTATCATCGTTGGGGTCTCTGCCCATTTTCTTGTACTACACACATGAAATATGCCTCATGTCTTCTCTGGGCATCTGTTTCCCATATCCCATGTTTGCCATATAAACCTCAAAGTCTCTTTGGTTTCCTTCTTTACTAAATTCTTGTTTACCAACATTTGAAAAATAATTTCAATTAGTTTCTTTGCCAGAGCATTATGTGTAAGCGTATTAATATTCGTTGTTATTAAGTGCTGTCAAGTCATTTTTGACCCATAGCAACCCTGTATGGGTTTTTCAAGGAGAGGATGGTGAGCTTGAACCACTGACTTTGCAGTTCAAATGACTTTGCATTCTAGTGCATTAACTCACAGTGCCACATCAGGGCTGTTGTTGTTGTTGTTAGGTGCCATTGAGTTGGTACTGACTCATAGAGACCCTATGCACAACAGAACGAAACACTGCCCGATCCTGGGCCAACCTCACTATTGCAGTGTATGTTATTTATATATTTACGGAGTCCTGGTGTGACATTTAGGATAAGCATTCGACCATAAGGTGGGTTTGAATCACAAGGTTGGTGGTTCAAACTCACTAGCTGCTCCTCGGAAATCCTATACAGGGTTGTTATGATTGGGAACCGACTGGACAGCACTTATCAACAATAACAGCATACCTATATTTAACAAACAGTTGACGTTGTAACCATGTTAAGTATATAATTCAGTGGCATTAATTATAGTCACCATGATGTACTCTCACTGCCACTGTCTACTCCCAAAGGTTTTTTTATCACGCCCCAAAACTCCAAGTACCTCCAAGTACTAACTGTCCATCCCTTTCTTCCTGCACTCTTAGACCCCACTAATAAACTTCTGTCTAAATGCATTTGCTTATTGTAGATCTTTCGTATAACTGGGATCATATAATATTTGCCCCTTTATGTCTGACTTATTTCACTCAGAGCATTACTTTTTAGTAAGATTCTAAATATACATTTATACTAGTTGGAAGGTATTGTTAATAGTCTATAATTTAAATACTAAACTACATTAATCAAGTTAACAAAAATACAGTTTCTAGACTAAATTATTACCCCCCCCAAAAAAAGGGTGAAAGAGAGAGGTCATCTTTGGTGTATCTTTTTGGTCTAAGTTTCTGTCTCTCACCACCAATGGCATGTCGGGATTCCACTACAGAGGACAAGCCAAGGCTTCAAATGCCTAAACACACACTCATATTCTTTCTTGTAAAGTGAACCCACCACTTTCCAAAGATCTAGCCACATGTCTCTGAGAGGAGAGGTCCCTGTGCTTTCAGTTATGGAATTCATAGTCTACAGTGTTGTTGGAGCCCCTTGGGAGACTTTACAGGGACACCAAACAACTTTGTGGTTGTTGAGGCCACTGTTAGACACACAGCACAGTTCTTCACAACTGCCCCAAACACAGCACATTCTTACAACATGGCAGAAGTCCTCATGAATCATCATTTCTGTATTTGTCAGTCAGTCCATTTTCCCTGACACCAGTGGGGAAGTTTATATTCCTGTCATTTTTCAAAAGAGGAAACTGAGGCAAAAATGTTGACCAACTTTCTTAGGCTTCTGGACCAAACTCAGTCCTGGGAATTTTATACATATCACAGTTCCATGGTCAAAAATTAGAAAAATACATTTTACTTTATATAAAGCATTATAAAGTGCAACCCAAGAAGACTATTCGCTTGGAAACACCTCTACCTTGTCAACAAGACATTTTAGTGGCAGGGATGACAGCACAGAGCATCCAATTCAACTCCTTCGTTTGGGGATTAAACTCAGGAAATTTGACTTTCTCAGTTCACAGGACCAGCAAGAGGTGAGCAGAGCTCAGGACCCAGGTCCCTTGATTCCCAGCCTAATGTTCCCCCTACCACATTATTCCTAATTTTAAGACGCATTTCTCTAAAGGAGCAAAACATTCATTAATCACAGCCCTAGGACCCCATGCAGCACAAGTTATCTTCCTTCCTTTCCCCATTTTTAATGTCTGGGACTTTCCACGGAAGAGACTGAAAAGAAATCAGCGTTGGTCCTGTTACCTCTGACACCCACAGTCAATTTACCTGGAAAGCTGTGGAGAGCATCTTCGCTTTCCAGCACGCCTCTCTGTTTGGTTGCCTGCAGCTCACTTTTGGATTTCCAAACCAGCTTGACCATCCTGATCATCTCGGGCAAGTCCCAGGGCAGCGGCCCCTGCTGGCACCCCGACTGACTGTCCAGTGAGGAGGGCAGCATACCTTCTGGGGCTGTCCACCTTCTGCCGAGCTCTGCTGAGTGGAAATACCTCTCTAACACAGGCATTCTGCCCTGTTCCCCAGAAGAGGAGGTAGGGCGGCTGTTGCTGCTGCTGCTGCTGCTGCTGCGGCGGCGGCGGCTGCGGCGGCTGCTGTTAGCAGAGGGGAAATTCTTTTCCAGGCAGGGGAAGACAAACCCCTGTACAATCCTCTCCAGCTTCAGGAACGCAAGGCTGCTCCAACCTGGCACAGTTTGCCTGCCCTCCAGCCCCTCCACAAACAGTGTTACTGAGCGCGAGTCAGTCACTTCCTAAGCTGTCTCACTGCTGGGGAACTCTTACTGTCCTCCTCCTTCCTTAGAGATAGAGTGCATTTCTTCCCCTCCTCTCTCAGGCACGGAGTTCACAGCACTTAATTAATCCCAGGCTACAGCTGGAACGACAGCAGGGGAAAAAAAGCCACCGAGGGTTGAACATTCATTTTCTCTCTTCTTCCTTCTGATTTATTTGTTTGCGATTCTGTTTTGGTGCTATCTGTTGTTGTCACTAGGTGCCGTCCAATTGGCACCAACAGAAGGCACCACTGCCTGGCCCTGCATCATTCTCACCCTTAGGAGTCTGAGCCCATTGTTGCAGCCACTGTGCCAAACCCTAGAGGGTCTCCCTCTTTGTCACTAATCTTCGACTTTACCAAGCAAGATGCCCTTCTCCGGGGTCTTGTCCATTCTGATGAATAACGTGTCCAAAGTACAGAAGGTGAAGTCTTGCCACCCTTGTATCTAAGGCTATGCTCTTCCAAGATATACTTGTTTATTCTTCTGGAAATCCATAGTATATTTAATATTCTTATCCAACAAGGTAATTCAAAGGCATTGATTCTTCTTCAGCTTTCCTTATTCATTTTTCATTTTTCACATGCATATGAGGTGATTGAAAACACCATGGTTTGGGTGGCCAGGCACACCTTAGTCCTCAAGCTGACATCTTGCTTTTGGAACATTTTAAAGAGGTCCTTTGCAGCAGATTTGCCCAATGCAATATGTTGCTTGTTTTTTTGACTGCTGCTTTCAAGGTGCTGGTTGAAGTGTGTCAAATGGCTTGTTTAGCCATGAAGGACGTGCTCCCCAGACGCCAGTTATCTTGAGTTGTTGCCCTGGAAATGTAGGAAGTCAAGATGCTGCCCCAGCTCTGGCTCTACCTGCAACCCCCTAGGAGTACTTGGAAAACGGGAAGTAGAAGCAGTCCATAGCTGTTGCTCTCTGGAAGGCTGGGGCTTGCTTGCTGATCTGCTATGGCCTCCACTGGGATGGCATTATTCAGATGGCTCTTGGGTTGACACTCAGTACCCCTGCTTACACCCTCTTCCTCCTTCCCCAGGCCCTTATCCTTGGCCTTTGTCATTCAGTATTCATCAAAGCTGACTGGATTTTGGTCTATTAGTCAAATTCCTTTGTTGCCTCAACTGCCCTTTAGCTGAAAGGGAAATAGCATTGAATCACATTCCAAAGTGAATTCTGAAACAGTGAATTAGGTAGGTATTGAGAACCTCATGCATATACCAGAGGTGCTTCAGAGTCTGGGCACACGGCTTAGGATTGCTAAGAACCGATTTTCAAGGATATTTGTGGGACATACAAAATGTATTGAAGCTCTACTTTCCAGAGAGAAGCACTGTACTTACTATCTGGGCCACCAACTACTGTGCCCCTGTGAGTGGTTCAACTGAGGACAATCACAGGCCATATGAAGTTGCTAAGCCTCAGAGGTGGAGGCGCTATCCTTGGAAGCCAGAGCCAGTATAACAAAGGGGGTGCCCCCTGTAGCTCATGTGAAAGGCCCTGGACATAAATGAAAGTGGGTTGGTATTGTATTTGGCACTTTCACCAGCAAATTGGGTTTGTAGGAACAATTTGAACTTGAGTATTCATGTGGATAGCTCCTGTTTTTTTGGAGGCCATTATAAGCACCCCATCTTTCTGTCCTCCTCACGTCTCTGCATTGCAAAGTGCTTTATTTTGCTGATGTACAATCTGTTGCTTCTGCTCTACATTCCTTGAGGCTGCTTTATCACACAATGGTTTGATGTTTCTTTAGAGAGGAGAGGAGAAGAGTTGTAGGAGAGGAGAAAGATTGTTAGAGAGTGAATTTTATTTTCATTGCCCCATTTAAAAGCAACAAAAAGTTGAAACAAGCAAAGACTACCGTAATTTTGTTGTTGCTATGATTTCCTCTAATCGATGGTTAGTAAATTTAGTTTTATACATCGAATTAAGTGACTTTTCTCTTTCTGTGTCTTTCTCTCTTTTTTCTGGATGGAAAAGTATACTTGAAAAATCTGTTTTCTTTCCTAATAGGTGAAGAAAGGTCAACATCCTTTGGAGTATAAAACAATAAACGTCATAGAAGACACTATATAACTTCACAAAAAGTTATGTCTTCTAGAAGGAGCCTGTTGGTACAATGGTTAAGCACTGGACTGCCAACTAAAAGATAGGTGGTTCAAACCCACCAGCCACTGCTCCTTGGGTGACAAGACCTGATCATCTGCTCCTATGAGGCCTTTACCTTAGGAAACCCTGTGGAGCAGGGTTATACAGTCTCTGTGTTATACAGTCATTAGGAGTTACAAGTGACTCAACAGCATACAACAGTGTCTTTTACATCTTTTGGTCTAACAGCTCTTTGTTTAACAACCCAATTAGATAGTTCATACAATCCAATTAGGGAATAATCAATGGTCAGCTAAAGAGAACATTTCATTTCTCTCATTGGTAAGAAATGAGAGGACTCAAGCATCAGTTTGACGCTTCTCCCACTTTCTGCAGCCATTTCTGTTCTTATCTTCCTCTTCTATCAGACTAGGGGTATTAAAACTTTCTAGAACTGAGATGATTTTGTTTAATAAGCCCGTGCAGCCTGTTGCACTCGATTAACATATTTCCTGAATAGTGTCTTCAACTCACTTCTCAGTCACACGCTTCCTTGACATGACAACTGAAGAGTTTCCGAAGTGTTGGACTATTTTTATTTTTGTTCAGTTATTTTGCAACAGTACTTAGCATCAGGATATCCTGACCCTTGGAACAAAGGGGTTAAGAACAAAGAAAACAAATACATGATATAATGTGGCACACACTAATGTATTAAAAATACAACTAATTCTTCGTTACCTATTTGTTAAAGAATGAGATTCTTTTTAACCTAGGATTAAAGTGTCCACTATTGTTTGACATATATTGTTTTACAAATTTCCTTATTAAAAGAAGTAATAAAATGTTGACTCATTCAACACAAATGCTTCTTTGTGGAGATGAATGAAGTGCTTAGGGTCACCTAAAACCATTTCACATTTTCATTCTAAAGCTGGAAATAACTTCATTTGAAGATTTGAATATGTTCACATAATTTAAACAATTTTTCCCCAATATGGGATTATCTTCATCCCAGAGTAGAAGTGCAAAAATACCACAAGAAAGGTCGTTCTCATGGTATTTCTGGCTCACATAGCAACAGGAAGTACAGGAAATCTTGCGAGAAAGCTTGGCTCAGGAGATTTTTGGCTCAACTGCAGACCTCAGAGATTGGGACAAACTGGTGAGATGCTACCACTTGTGGAAATAAAGTCTCTCGACCACACTAATTCTCTAGAAGGTCATTGTGTTACATGTCAGAGCTAACATTTCACAAGCAGGGATCTTGTTTGTTGGTCAGAAGGTTACTTTACAGAGTAAATCCAGTGAATGGCATCTACCTTGAGACAGTTCTGCCGGCTGAACTGGGATGCAGAAAAGAGATGGATAGGGAGGTTCTGTGCTGGGGGAATCATGGAGCAAAGAGGTCTCTTCATCTGTGTGATGTGTAAAAATTCTTGCATATATCTGGGATTAATGTGTTACACCACCACTCGTCTGTCAATTTGTTGTACTGTGGTGGCTTGCATGTTGTTGTGATTCTGGAAGCTATGCCACTGGTATTTTAAATACCAGCAGGGTCAACCATGGTTTTAGATGAGCTTCCAGACAAAGATGAACTAGGAAGAAGGAGAGATGGATTACTTCCTAACATTTAGTCACCGAGAACCTTATGGATAGCAGTGGAACACCATCAGACAGCACCAGAATATTGAGTTTTGAAACATGATGAAGAGCACCAGAATATTGTCAGATATAGTGCCGGAAGATGAGCCCCTCAGTTAAGAAGGCACTCAAAACAGGACTGGGGAAGAGCTGCCTCCTCAAAGTAGAGTTGACCATGATAACATGAAAGGAGTAAAACCTTTAGGACCTTCATTTGCTGATGGGCACAACTCAAAATGAAGAGAAACAGGAGTAAACAACCATTAGTAACTGGAACATGGAATGTATGAAGTATGAATCTAGGAAAATTGGAAATGGTAAAAAATGCAATGGAATGCATGAGCATCAATTCCTAGGCATTAGTGAGCTGAAAAGGACTAGTATTAGCCATTTTGAATCTGACAATTACATAGTTTACTATGCTGGGAATGACAAATTATAGAGGAATGGCATCACATTCATCATAAAGAAGAATGTATCAAAATCTGTCTTTCAGTACACTGCTGTCTGTGATAGGATAATATCCATATATGTATAAGGAAGGCCAGTTAACACCACTATTATTCAAATTTGCTCACCAATCTCTAAAGCCAGTGATGACAAAACTGAAGAATTCTATCAACTTCTTCAGTCTGAAAGTGATCAAAAATGTAATCAAGATGTATTGATAATTACTGGAGATTGGAATGTAAAGGTTGGAAACAAGAGGAAGGATTAGTAGTTGGAAAACATCACCTTGTTGATAGAAACAATCTTGGAGATTGCATGATAGAATTTTGCAAGATCAATGACTAGTTCATTGCAAACACCTTTTCAAAACAACATCAAAAAGGTATATACACATAGACCTCACCAAATGGAATACACCGAAATCAAATTGACTACATCTGTGGAAAAAGATAGTGGAAAAGCTCCATACGATCAGCCAAAATATGACTGGGGCAGACTGTGAAACAGACCATCAATTGCTCATATGCAAATTCAGGCTGAAGCTGAAGAAAATGAAAACAAATCTACGAAAGCCAAAATATGGCTTTCAATATATCCCATCTGAATTTAGAGATCATCTGAAGAGCAGATTTGATGCATTAGACAGTAAAGACCAAGGATGGGAAGAATTGTGTGATGATATCAAGAACATCATACAGGAAGAAAGAAAAAGGTCATTAAGAATTAAGAAAGAAGGAAAAGACAAAAATGGATGTCAGACAAGACTCTGAAACATGCTTC